CTGAGGGTCAAGTTTTGTGGAGTCCTTAGAGATAGTTGCTCTCCTTTGTGATCATATTAGTTATCTCCAGCCCTCGCTGGTCCTGCGTAGAATGGCTGGCTTTCCTTCCTTCCTTCCTGTATCCCTTTTACTGGGCTCCAGACCCCTCATGTGACTATAAAGGGCCTGATCAAACTCTCCAGCCATAACTCCTGCTCCAGTTCAGTGCCCCCAGCGGTATACTGTGTGCAGAACAACCTGCTTCACCAAACTGTTTTTTTCTTTTTTCTTTTGGAACTGAGGATTGAACCCAGGGGTGCTCTACCACTGAGCCACATCCCACACCATTTTTAGTTTTGAGACAGGGTCTTAGTAAATCTCTCAGGGCCCCACTAAACTGCTGAGGCTGGTCTCAAACTTGAGATTGATCCTTCTGCCTCAGTCTACCCGTGCACCACCATGCCTGGTTCAAAGAAATGTTTCAAAAAAAAGACAACAAAAAAACCTGCATTGGTTAATTCATACTAATGTAGGAAAACAAAGTATTTTCTTTGGCATAGCTCCACCCAGGTGTGGCTAATGTTCATTATTTATTCCCTCCTTCCATTTCTTAGAAATTGCCTAAAAGGTTTATCTGTTTCTTTTTCTGTCTCTTTCAGTACTGAGGATTGAACCGAGGAGTGCTCTGTCACTGAGCTGCCTCCTCAGCCCTTTTTATTTTCTATGTTGAGACAGAGTCTCGATAAGTTGCCCAGGCAGGCTTTGAACTTGTGATCCTCCTGCCTCATGATCTCGAATCACTAGGGTTACAGGCATGCACCACCCTGCCCAGCCTATTTTCTGTGATTTTAATTTAAATAATTTTTTCTGAAACATTAAATTATCTGTTAATATATATGTTTTTCAAACTGCAAATGCTTCTTCTACCCTCTCCCCACTAAAAATGTCTCCCCAAAGCTTCTCAGCCCTGTGGAAGTCTGGGTTTGTTCCCACTGGGCCCATGAACCGTGAGTTGTGAAAATAACCTGTCATTTCCTACATAATGTGATATACGTCTGTAATATTATCTCGCAGGCTGGTTATAAAAAAAAATTATGGAAAAAGACAGCTGCAAGAAAAAGACGCTTGAGGGAATTCGTGTTCTGCAATAAAACCCAGAGTAAACTCCTAGATAAGATGACGACATCTTTCTGGAAGAGGCGGAACTGGTACGTCGATGACCCCTATCAGAAGTACCACGATCGCACCAACCTCAGAGTGTAGAGAAGAGTCTCGGCTCCTGTCCCTGAATGTCCTCTTTGTCCTCGTGACGCCTTGCTAACGAGTGAGCTAGGACTTGAAGTGAATTGTACTGGCTGATGTCAAACACACAACACCAGTATTAAACCTGAGGAAGTCTTACAGTGAGTGATTTCGCGTGCTGGGATCTGGCCAGGGAACTGGAATTCAAGGTTGTGCGTGGTTTTTCACCTCAGTGCTGGTTTCACTAGTCACCCCAGTTAGGCTTCTTTAGCTGCAAGGAATCTAAACTGAGGGCGAGGTCAGAAGACTAACGCCAGCTGGTGAGCCCCAGCAGTGACCCCATCTAAGGACACAGCCTCAGAGGAGCTGGGACCCTCTCAGCAGCCCCACCTGGGCGGGGGGGAGGCTGCCACTCTGCAGGCGCCTGGCTCACCACTCCTACTGGCTCAGCACGTGGGCAGCCTGCCTTCTTTGCTCCCCTCGCTCTGCAGGGCTTGTGCTTGGGAGTAGCTCCCATCCCCTCTCAGTAACTGCAGCCTGTAGCCTTGAGGTTCTACCTCCTGACCTTCATCTGCAGAGAGACTCCAGCTGGGGGGCTCCCACATACCCAGGCCTCACTGGTGTCACCTCTGGTGTAGGGATCGGCTCTTCCTAGGTCAGGAGCTCCCAGCCCATTCGGTTGTCTGCCGCTTCACTGGGAGCAGAGACTGGTGACAGGAGCAGTTTTGCTTAGAGGTGAGCACAGGAGGCGCGCGCCTGGCCTCTTGAGTTCTGAGTGCATGGTTCACGGAGGTTCTCATGCAGTTTTTTGGTGCGGGATGTATTCATAGAAGAGTAAATGCATAACCTTTCAGTGTGAGGTGCCCTCTTGAGACGGGGCTGTACAAGACAAAGACTTTGTACCCACGTCTCAAGGAACACTGTATTTCTCAAATTCAGTTTGACCTCTTGAGGGTTCATATTTTCATATGTAAGAGTAAACTCTTCCCCAAATACTCCAAAAATGCATTGTAGAATTAAGAGGGGGAGGTGATTTCAGGGGCGATGCAGGTGGCTACATAGGCTTTCTGTGGAGAGGGCTGGTAGTGGCTCTCAGCTCCCTCACCAGACTCCTCGGGAGGCGCTTCAGAAAGCACTGTTGTGTCAAAGCCACTGCTAAATAGAACGAGGGGGGTCGCTGTGCCGGCCCCTTCCTCCAGGGTTGGCAAGATGAGCTCCTCTTCTGCCAGGGAGGTAAGCACATTGAAGTCAAGGTGCATCAGCAGGAAGTTGGGGGTCATTGAGTGAAAAGGGGCAGCAGTAGAATGTTCTGAGGCCAGAGGGCCATGTGTGTCTGTTACAGGCTCTTGCTCTCTGGCACGCCTCTTGCGGGGTGAACAGGTGTCTTAAAAGCCAGGGAGCAGGACCCTTTCCTAGCCTCCATGGTGATGTGAACATGGACGACTAGTGTCTGTTGCAGGCCTCAGAGCAACTTAGCTTCTCTAGGCCAGGGACAGCAGGGGAGAGAGGAGGACCAGCAGGCAGGCCTCAGCATCCAGAGATGGGCTGACGTGAACGGGCCTGTGGGCACTCCATTCTGGGGGTAGGAGGGCTTATCAAAACCATTTTATAGGGGCTGGGGCTGGGGCTCAGAGGTAGAGTGTTCACCTAGCATGCGTGAGGCCCTGAGTTCCATCCTCAGCACCACATAAATATAAAATACAGATATTGTGTCCACCTGTAATTAAAAAATAAATATTAAAAAAACTATTTTCTAGTTTGACAGTAAAACAGCTCTCATTAAATGATATTCAAGCATGCTCGTAATTCAGAAAGTGTGTGGATAGTCTATTCAAGTATAGAATTTATTGGACACCCACCATGTCCCAGTGTAGTTATAAGACTGGGCCCAAATCACAGAGCTGCTGAACTCCATGCCAGCCATGCAGAGGAATCGCCGTGGACTCCTGATTTAAATTAGAGGACACAGAAGCTCAGCATTAAATAAGTTTCCCAAAAGTACGCTCATGCGTCCCAGGACAGGAGTCAGATTCCTGGGGTCCTCTCTGTCGCCCTTAGTCTTCTGACAGCGAAAGGAAATTCTTAATCTAAATCAACAGTGACTGATGTAGTACTGTAAGTACTAAATCATTTGTAACACTATTACTTCACCTGTTTTGGGTTTGTTTTTATAGTCCTGGGTAAATCCAGAGCCTCACACATGCTAGGCAAGCACTCTACCCCTGAGCACATCCCCAGCTCTGGACTTGAACTTGCCCTCCTGCCTCAGCCTCCCAAATAACTGAGATTACAGGAGTAGCCACTACACCATGCCTAGTTCATCTTTGAAATTTTATTTATTTATTCTTTCTTTTAGAGACAGGGTCTCACTGAAGTGCAATAAGTTGCTGAGGCTGGCTTTGAGCTTTCAATCCTCCTGCCTCAGCCTCCCAAGCTGCTGGGATTACAGGTGTGGCCACCACACCCAGCTCATCTTTGACATTTTATAACTGCTGTTCTGTTATTTGTCAACTCTTTTTGGGGGGTGGGGTATCAGAGATTAGACTCAGGGGCACTCAACCACTGAGCCATGTCCCCAGCCCTATTTTGTATTTTATTAAGAGACAGGGTCTCACTGAGTTGCTTAGTTCCTCTCTTGCTGAGATCAGCTTTGAACTCCTGATCCTCCTGTGTCAGCCTCCCGAGCTGCTGGGATCACAGGTGTGCCCCACTGTGCCTGGCTGTTTGTCAATACTAATCTGTTGGCACTGGATCTGGCTCAATGAAAAACAGAATGGATTTCCAGCCTTCCCATCCCCCCTCCTCCCTGCTGTCCTCTGAACCTGCTTCTTTTCTGCTGCCTCTTGTCAAACAGGCACAGTCCTTGTGTCAGACAGGTAGACTCTGGGACTATAAGAACAACGAGAATGGGCCTGGCTTTGATATTCTCAAGTCTCCGTGGCCACCCAAGAGGCTTGAGCCCACCTGTTGCTATTGAAGGGTAGGCCCTGCAGGGCTGAGTCATCACTACTCTACCTCGTGTGCTGTGCATGCACGGCGCTCTCCTCATCTGCACAGGTGCCCTCGTCTGCAGGTGGACAAGTGCTCAGGAGGAAAGCAACAGACCACAGGTCTCTGCAGAATCGCAGCCAGCTACTCTGTCTTCACAGCTGTCCAGTCTCCACTGATGATCTTTAGACTGTAAAATTGATGCTTTCAGGGAGATCATCTGGTTTTGCAAACACAGTATCACTTAATTTTCTTCCTCCCGTAATCCTACGCAGTTCACATGGGGCCAAGTTTCCATGCCAGCTGGTGATTGAGCATTCTGTTTCTAATCCTTGTTAGGTTCCATGTGTGTGTGTGTGCACACACGTGGTCCTGGGGTTGAACCCAGGAGCATACCCCCAGCCCTTTTCTAAATTTTCCTTTGAATTGGGTGCAGTGGTAGATGTTTGTTTTCCCAATGACTTGGTAGGCTGATAGGAGAATCGAAAGTTCAAGGTTAGTCTCAGCAACTTAGCAAGATCCTGTCTCAGAAGGGTTGGGGATGTGTCTCAGGGGTGAAACCACCCCTGGGTTTCATCCCCAGGACCAATTTTTTTTTTTTTTTTTTTTTTTTTTTTTTTTTTTACTTGGAGACATGTTCTCACTAAATTGTTGAGCCTGGCCTTGAATTTGTGATCCCTCTGTCTCAGCCTCCCAAGTTGCCAGGATCACAGGCATACCACTGGTCCTGGCCTTTCCAGATTTTTAAGGAACATTTCCTCTTTCCTCATAAGCCAAATATTACAAGGACATTTCTTAAAAGAAAGATGTTAAGACTTTATTCAAGCATTATAACAAAACAGCAAACGTCAGCTTTTGGAATACTGTCATTCACATCCCTTCGATGCACGGTCCAATCTCCGATGGTCCTATGGAGACGGCAGGGAGCACAGTCGCTGTCCACAGCGCCTGTTCCTTGCGTGTCCTGCCACAGGGTGAAGCGCGTCCTCTGCCACTCGAGTGCTGTGTGGGGCCAGGGGAGGGCTTATGGCGGTGGTGTACACGCACTGCACAGACACACGGACAGTATCACAGAGGACCCATGTAAAGGCCAGCAGGGCTGGGGAGGGGGGTGGTGGCGAGGCTCTGCTGAGGATGGAGAGCAGGAGATCCCGCTCACCTCAGAAGCAACAGGTGCTGGAGGCCAGCAGCTAACCGTCATGAAGGGGAAGTCAGACTTCCGAGCTAGTGTGTCCGTAAGTCACACACTGAAATCATCCGGTGGCATCTTCTAAACAGAACGCACCGCTGCTTGCACACTGATAGGCATTCGCATTCACACAGATAACACAGCGTGGTGGGTGAGGAAACACGTTTGCCAAAAGCATGATGGCTGCTCCCAGGTGTGCGTGTGTGTCCCCAAGAGGCGACTCCCTAGTTGGCACCGGGAAAGCACAGGGCACTCGGCAGCAGGTGCCTCCCATCTGTCTCTGACCGTGGACTGACTGCACAGCCTTCTACAAGGTGGGGTGCACCCTGCTGGTTCTGGCACACTTGATAGTCTGGACCTGTCCACCTTTCCATTGTAGAATCAAAAAATACAGCATGACCCATTGTTAAAGCTATTGTTATTTTGGCAAAATAATAAAAAAAATTGGTAGAAAGCTGCCTCACTTGAGCTTTTTGCACTTGTTTCTGGTCACACTGAGTATGCCCAACTAAGTAAACACACTGTAAAGGGTACACCATTCCTCGTCTGGGACCACGCAGGGATTCTCTTCCCTAGCAGGTTCAGGAATTGGGGGGTGTGGGCCAGAGACCGAGAGCAGAGGCCTCTGACCTCTCAGCCATGAAACTACTTTTAGGTGGATTTTCGTAAATCCTTATAAACTTCAGAATCACCATCAGAGGCCCTGTGGGAAGGAGGGATTCCAGTGTGTATGTCTGGCCACAGTCAACTTGGACTAGACCCCTTTGCACGACAGCACCCTCGGCAGCCCGTGTGCAGGCCTTGGGTGGGTCTCGGTAACTGGGCCTGCTTGCAGCCGGGTTGACAGCTCTGAGTGACTTGAGACACTACTTCTCTAGCCTTGAGGGTGAGTCTAAGAACAAACACAATCCAACTGTATGAGACCTGCACAGTGGCCAAGGCATGCAAGACACAGGGACACCAACTCTAAGCACAAATACACTAGTCCTACGTTTTGGCTCAGCTCTGGGGTGGCAGCTACCTCAGACCCACTGTCACTTCATCCAGGTGCTGCTCAAAATTCCAGTCTAAGCAGGGAGTTCCCTCAGAGCTGGACTGCCCTGGGAGGAGTCCTGGCTTGTGTGGAACCTCCAAGGTTGGCTCCGCTCACATCCCACAGGTCAGGAAGGGAGCAGAAGGTGGAGCCACAGCTGCCCAGGGTTTCCAGCCCCCTTGGTGAGGTGTGTCCGCCTGCTGGGGCGTATCTGAAACAGCACTTGTTTCTGCCTGTTCTCTGCAAGGTGCTCAGTGGAGGCTCCTCTGCCTGGGGAGATCAGCACTGATCACTACGAGGGAGAAACAGTACTTTGCCAAGCACTTTCGAGACCCTCGACATTCTTCAAGCAGCTCTGCAAAGTGCCCATGCCCAGGAAGACTGCCAAGTGAGCCCTACAGGGGTTCTGCAGGCCCCCCAGACCCAGGCAGGAGTGGAGCTTCCTGTGCCCTCCCCCCGCCCTGGGGCTTTGCTGGGCTCTCCAGCCCCTGCCCTCCGAGCTGCCGCCTCACAACTGTGGCAAGAAGGAACCATCTTCCTTCAGGGTAGCTGGATTTGAAAGCTTTAAAAGCACATAAAAGACATGATCTAGAATTGATTTTTTTTTTTTTAACAATTCTGTTTTTACAGTTTTCTCACTTATTGGAACCTCTGGCAGCCCTTGCAAGCTCATTATGTTAAGCCAAAGCCATAAATATGTTCATCAGAGTCCAAAGGAGTAGTACCAAGAAAAAAAAAAGTTTTTAAAAAAATTGCTTTGTTTGCATTTACAGGACTAAAAACTAAGTCTGCAACAGATAAATTACAAGTGTACAACTCAGCAGCACAGGGGAGATCTCTGACGTTCTGAAAGCACACTGCTCTCTGTAGTGACCATCCAGTGGAGGGGACATACCGACCTCAGAAGGCATGACAGTCACCCCACTATCACCTTTCCCTTAGCCTCTCCCCAGCAAAACAAAGGAAGAAGAGAAGAAAAGGGGAGGGAAGAAAGAGAAATCCCGAGAGGCAAAGGGCGTGAGGCAAGGCAGAGTCCGCGCGTGGATCTGGATGGTGACCAGCTCTTTAAGGCAGAGGAGAGACGCTCTGTGGATCCGGTGCCGATGGCTCATCTCACTCACGTGGTTTCGGTGGCTGAGGACGAGGTACTCTTCTTCCTGAAGCGGGATCGCAGGAGTCTAGGCGGTGCCTGGCAGAGAGAACAGAACAGACACCCCTCCGTGTGGCACGAACGTGTGACCTCAGGACAGCACCAGGGCTGCGTGGGGACATCAGCAGGAGCGCGGCAGTGAGCAGAGGGATCTCCCTGGGCCTCCACGCACCCCGTGAAGCGGAGCCTCCCACAGGGCTGCTCCATGGGCCCCAGTCCCTGGCTGCCCGGGGAGCATTGTGCAGAGGGCACTGTCTCATTGTCCCCAGCAGTGACGCAGAGGGGAGCAGTGACGCAGAGGAGAACTGCTCTGCTCTGGCCTCTGCCACGTCTGCACTTCCTCCGCGCTGGCCTTGCGTCCCCTGGGACAGCCTCGAGGGCCCAGTGCCCACTCAGGATGCAAAGCCATTGTGCTCCACAAACCACAGCTCACAGGCAAGTGAACTGCACCAAGGGTCCCCTCAGCCCACAGGGGATTCTCACAAGGCCCTCCTTCCATGGGACATAGACCCCAGCTGCTGGGAAATGAACGGGAAGGCCTCTCCTGCAGAGCCCCTCAGCCTGTGCCTGTGCATGTCCCAGGGAGGAGGGCTTTGTCCACTCTGCGTCCTCTCACACCTCCCGACTCGCCCCTGGGCACCACCTGGAAAGCCCCCTCTGCGGAGGCTTTCACGAGCCCTCGCCACACGCAAGCAGTCTGCCTCACTGCCTCTGGCCCACCGAGCTGCCCATGATGGCTCGTCACCTGAGTATGGGTGGGGGGCGTTCTGCTTCCTGGGGGCAGGCCCACGTCCAGGTCAGTGCCTGGCAGTTGCTCCAAGGGAGGGAGCGGATGGACCAGAGCAGGCGTGGGCCCCCTCACCAGCCACCACTGGCCACAGGCCCATAGGGGGGTGACCCCGCTTCCTAACTCCAGCCTCTTGGCAGGTAAAGCAGGCAGTGAGGAGGCTGTGTGGCTTCAGAACCCAAGAGCAGAGGGGCTCGGCCACCAGCCTGGGAGGCCAGGCCAGGTGGGGCTCCAGCCACTCCCAGCTCTTCAAAGACTGGCCCATGTGTGCCTCATCTCAGCAGGAGCCTGGTGGACCCTGCAGGTGGGGGTGGTCCCAGCACGGCTCTGGAGTGACCAGGACACTTGGCCACTGTGCTAGGCGGGGACATCGCAACTCCTCCTCATCTCACTCCAGGGGTCTCCACTCTGGGGAGGGACTCCCACCCTGACCTCAGGATTCAGCAGATGGGGAACTGGAAAGGAGACTGAGGGGGCAGAGAGGATGTCTCTGGGGTCCCTGAGTCTGTTGGCCTTGCCCCCGAGACATGACTGGTGAGTCCCCACCATGTCTCAGAGCAAGGCCCATGAGCTCCTGTGTGGCCCTCCTGCTGCCAACACCCGTCCACACCTGTGGTCATGTTGGCCTTGCTAACTCTAAAGGGCTGTGCCCCGAGGCCGTTTCATGACCAGCCTTTCTGCACCAGGTGCCTTGGTATGCTGGAGATGACGAGAGAAGGCCCATCTGTAAAGACACCAAGCAGCGAGGTCTGGGCTCTCCCTTCCCCAAGACTCTCCAGGTCGATTTCCTCACACATCGCCGCAGTTAAGAGCGGCTGGTGTCAAGGGAAACGAGACCCCTTGCCTCCTCTCTGTCTCCCACTGCCCCAGCCTTGGCGCCTAGGTGGGTCCTGCCTGTTTGCTGAAGGGAGATCTTGTCACCCCAGCACCAGGGGGTGCTGGGTATCCCGAGAGGCCACTGCTGGGGCGCCCAGGTCTCAAGAGCAAAGCGCCTGGGCAGACACACTCTCCAACCCGCAGCCCCCGACGCCGGTACCTCCAGGGGCGGATCCATCCTCTTTGGTGCTTTATACTTGTACATGAAATCCAGCAGGTCCTCCTCCTCCTCGTCAGAGAACGCCAGTGGGTTGTGGGCCTGGAGGGGCTCCCAGGCCTTCACACCACCCTCGTCCACATCTCCCTCAACCACTGAATGTGCGTGTACAGTCTACACGAGGAGAGAGGGCGCAGGAGGCATCAGCGAGGAAGGGGCAGGCAGGGTAGGGTTAGGCTCCACCACACGCCAGGCCTGTTAGGACAGCTACAGCTTGGGTTTAGGAGGCACCAAGGACTTGGGGCCTCCCTGCAGGGCCAGGGCTGTGAGAGGACGATGGCAAGGCACAGGGCACAGGGCAACCCACGCTCAGCCCACACCAGCCGAGGAGGTGGGCATGCTGCATCCCCGTGGTCCAGACCTGCGGCTGTCCCGGCTGGCCAGGGAAGGCTGTGCTCTAGACAGTACAGCTGGGTGACGCGCGGGAACCCAGCTGCCTACGTCACACGTGCAACCGTGACGGTACTGCATTGCACTTGGGTGGCCAGCTCCGCGCTCTTAGAGACAGGAGGCAGCACCCTGGAAGCCATAGTGATGACCCACACAGACCCTCACTTCCAAGGCCCCCGCCCTGGAAAGCAAAGGAGCCCAGGAAGGAGTCTGAACGTAGCCGCTTTGGAAAAACAAGACAGCAAGGGTCCTATTTCAGGTTGCCCTGAAGAACCCACAGGAGGCCCACAGAGTCTGCCCACGCCCTGCCTTGAGATGTTAGCTGTCCCTGCCCGCCCAGCTCATCTGATGTCCACAGTCTCGGCCTCCTATGCCTCACACACTGCCTTAGCCAATCACAGAAGGCAGAGCTAGGGCCCCTTGCCTACCTCACCCATCTCGTCCAACCACCCTTCTGTCTGCAGATGGAAACCTGAGCTCCTCTTAGGACACCTGATACTGCTCCAAAAAAAAAAAAAAAGTTCAGCCAACAAGTCCACTGTCTCCACCAAGGCTGCAGAGGGGGCCCAGGGGCCCAGGGGCCCAGCAAAGCAACACCACCTCATCTTGGACAGCTTCTTCCGTTCTGCTGCCCTTCTCTGTGGCAGCCAGCGGGGGGCAGCACCAGAGCACGGCTGCCTTGGGGAGGGATCTGCCCAGGCTGCACCTCAGGGAGGGCCTGAGGCATCCATCTCCCAGGCGCGGTTCAGTCTGTGCCTCCCTCAGCCTGTCTACCCTGCGTTTAGGCTGTTCTCAGGTCCTTTCCCTGCCCAAGTCCAGCCAGACTCAGGACCTTAAACGCCCACGATCTCACAGGCCTCTGGGAAGACTGACCCTCCAAGGGCTTCCTGCACCACAGACCTGGAAAGCTTAGGGTCTGCACCAAGCCGTTGGTGCTACACAGCCTGGCTCTCCTGTGGGCTCCCAGCCCAGGCCAGCAACAGTGTCCTGAGGTGTGTGGCCATGCTGGTCCTCCCGCATACCCTCTGAGCACCTGCCCAGGGCTGGGTGCACAGCAGCCACATCCTCTGATGTGCTGGCCCCAAGTCAGAGCTGGCACCCATCAACTGGACACACAGGAGAAGCATGAGACATAACCCAGGACCCAAGGCCCCCAGAGCAAGGCAGGCCTGCAGAGGCCATCCCCATCCTGGGCCTGGGGCTGAGTGCAGTGGGGTCTGTGCCTCTGCACACCCACATGTGGTTCCCTCTCAGTCCTGCCCCAGGGCTTTCATTGTACTGATGCCTATGGGCACCAAGGTGGCCCAGTGTCCCCTCAAGATCCTAGGGGATCTCATAAGTCAGCCCACTCTCCTGGCCTGGACGTGCTGTGGCTGAACAAGGAACTCACACATTACCAGGATAACAATGACCACCAGAGGGGCTTCCTGCGTGCTCTCCACACTGCACCCTTCAGCAAGGACCAAGGGTCAGAGTGAGTGACCCTCCAGACCCTGAAGAGAGCAGGTGAGCCCAGCTACTCAAGCAGGAATAGAGAGCTAGTGCCCAGCGGAGCAGAGGCTGCAGCAAGGGACACTGGTATGGGTAGTCAGGGCCGGAAGCAGCTCCCAGAAGAGAAACACCCCTGGCCACGGAGGCCCTAGCCATTGATGGCAAGAGTGTTTGTGATGTTCTTCCCCCAGGACTCCCGAGGGCGAGTGTCCTGAACCAGCCTCTGAGCCTCAGGGGGCTACTTGGTGAGTCTGAGTCTCAGCTTCCTGTCCTCCTCCTCCTTGGGGGGAAGAGGGACTTTGGCCACACTCCAGCAGGAGGGCAAGCACCTCTGACCTCCTGCTCCTCCCTGGCCTCCTGCTCCTCCCTGACCTCCTGCTCCTCTCTGGCCTCCTGCTCCTCCTGACCTCCTGCTCCTCCCTGACCTCCTGCTCCTCCTGACCTCCTGCTCCTCCCTGACCTCCTGCTCCTCTCTGGCCTCCTGCTCCTCCTGACCTCCTGCTCCTCCCTGACCTCCTGCTCCTCCTGACCTCCTGCTCCTCTCTGGCCTCCTGCTCCTCCCTGGCCTCCTGCTCCTCCTGACCTCCTGCTCCTCCCTGACCTCCTGCTCCTCCTGACCTCCTGCTCCTCCCTGACCTCCTGCTCCTCCTGACCTCCTGCTCCTCCCTGACCTCCTGCTCCTCTCTGGCCACCTGCTCCTCCCCAACTTCTGCTCCTCCCTAATCTCTTGCTCCTCCCCGGCCTCTTGCTCCTCCCCAACCTCCTGCTCCTCCCTGGCCTCCTGCTCCTCCCTGAACTCCTGCTCCTCCCTGACCCTCTGCTCCAGCCAGCCCTGGGCCACCCCCACAGAGCAGCAGAGCCCCCCCGGGTTAGTGAGCACCCCACACGGCACACGTTAGCCAGCAAACATGTCTGGAGAGCATGCCCAGGAGGCCGCGACACTTACATCCACGTCCGCCACCGCCGTGGAGAGAGAAGAACACAGTTAGGAGAGGCCCTGGGGCGAGAGCCACACCCACCCATACACACACACACACACACACACACACACACGTGCGAGTGTGAAAACACACGCGTGTGCACACACACACACAGCTCCTCCTGCGTGGCCAGGAGAAAGACACTGCCCAGCGCAACTGTCTCCTCCCGCCGCTCTCCCTAGCAGATGGCAAGAGGAAGGACCCCCCAAAACCATGTGTCAGGGGTGCTCTGTGCCTGGGCTCGGGCGGCCATCCCAAGTGTAGTTCTCTGTCCAGGGGGGCAGGTGGGGCCTGTCGGCAGAGGAAGAGAAAGGGAGGCGGGCAGTGGGGAGGGAACTGGCTGCAGGGGCGGGGAGTGAACCAGGTGCACAGGCAGAAAGGACAGCACAGATCAGCGGCTGCCTCTGCCGCTCCTGGGTGGCTCTCGTGGCCCCCCACGCCTATCAGCCTCCCAGCCGCCCCTCGTCCTTCTCCACTCTCCGTCCTGTGCTGGGACCTGCATTTACAGCCCTTAGGAGACTCCTGCTCTGCTCAGGGGTCCTCAGGACAACTCGTGGCCCAGGCTTCGGTCCGAGCGGCCCCCATAGGACACCAATCCAGGAGACCTGGAGGGAAGCATCCTGCGCACTGAGGCCTTCTCATGGCCCCAGCGAACCTCCCCAGTACCACCTGCTGTCACTGCAGAGGCCATCTAGCCCAACCCACCACCTAACAGCATCCTGCTTGTGCTGGCCCAGCAGCACCAGAGCCAGTGGCCAGGCAGCAGTGGGCAGTGTATGCCCGCCCCGTGTCCTCACGCAGTCGGCAGGCTGCAGGCTGGGGCCTCCCTCCTTCTGAGCCAAGCCGCATGCTCCCTGGGGAGCAGCGAGAGCCACAAGGGCTTGGACAGTCCAGCACCGTCTAGTCCCTGGTGTGTCCAGTTAAGGCCAGGCAAACAGGAGCAGGTCACGGGAGAACAACTTGGCCACCAAGCTGTCACACATAGTGAAGGCAGCAGCAGGCATCCCTGTCCAGAACTGGAGGCCTCTTCCCTCCCTGGAGTCTCCTGGCTACTCTAGTGTGTAGTGCTTCCACTAACGGCAGTCCTTGGAAACAGTAGTCCTTCGACAACCATTGCACAACCATTGCACAACCATTTCACAACAGTGCAGAGAGCGAGGAAAGCAGGGACCTTTGTCTCTATTTTAAGATGAAGAAACTAAGGTGCAGAGTAGTTAGGAGATTCACAGAAAGTTGCACAGCTCGTAAGTGGCAAAGCAGGACCAGGGCTCCCTTGGCTGCACCAGGACGACACCCCTGGAACCACAGGGCTCCAGCACTGCAGAGTCTTGGCAAGTTCCTGGGCCTTACTTCCCACAGTACAGGGAGGCATGACTGTGTGGTGACTGAGCAATAACAGCACACATTTTTTAGGGGGGGCACTAGTGATTGCACCTAGGGGGTGCTCTGCCATTGAGCCACATTCCAGCCCTTTTTATTTTATTTTGAGGCAGGGTCTCACTAAGTTGCTGAGGCTGGCCTTGAACTTGCAACCCTCCTGCCTCCATCTCCCAAGTTGCTGGGGTTACAGCCCCTGGCTGTGTTACTCCTTTCTTCAAGAGCTGGAAGTTAACTCTGCACTTGATGTGGGATGGACATGGTGACTCACTTCCACCAAACAGGATGAGAACTTTGAACTGGCCACTTCAAAGTCAAGGTGATGAAGGGCACTGTGGCTTCCTGCCTGCCCTCTCTCTGGGGTCACCTGCTCTGGGCCAAGTCGTCTGCCACGCTGCAAGGACATCAGCGGCCCTAGAGAGCCATGTGGAGAGGAACTGAGGCCTCTGGCCCACAGCCACTAGAGGCCACATTGATGTGAACTTCCAGCTCCACCCCTCAGATGAGGGCGCACTGGCCGCCATCTTGACTGCAGCCCCCAAGGCATTGCACACGCCCCAAACACTACCACAGGAGTATAGTGTGTCTGCTCTGCAGGAGTGACCCTACTGGGCCCCCTGACCATGCAGCTGGGAGGGAGCCAAGGTCCCTGCTCAGGTTAGAGGCCCTCCTGAGGTGAGCCAGCAGCTGCGGGGGCTGGAGACACTGCTTACTCACCTTTCTGGGTCCTGCAGGTGGCGCAGCAGGTGCACACTGTGGGAACGGGGGCAGCGTCAGTGAGGACCCCACCCAGGAGCCAGCCCCAGGCACAGGGAGGCCGAGAGGGTGGGGAGCGCACGGGGCTCCCAGGAAGGGGGTCTCTGCTCCAAAGCACCCGTCCCCTGGTGCCCAGAGCCGGCCTCGCGTCCTGCAGCCCTAGGGCAGGTGTGGGCAGGTTCAGGTATCCTCCAGGAAATCGCTCTAACCACCCACTCCCAGAAGCCTCTCCTCCAGACCGTCGGGTTCAGAAAGTTCTCTGGGACACCTGCCTAGACTAGTCCCTGAACCCCAAGTGCGCAGTGTCTGGCCATCTGGCCCAAGTCCTGGTTGGCTGCTGTCCCGCCTGCTCCCTGGCTGTTGGAGCACATGGTGGGTGCTTGTTAAGGACTTGCTGTGATCCAAATCCACTCTTCCGACTCCCTGTGTGCCCTTTCCTGTGGCCAGCGCTAGGCGTCCCACGCATAGTGCCCCTTCCCTCCCATCCCCTCTGCAGGGAGGGCAACCTCAGTCCCTGCCAGCCCTGTCCCTTCAAGGGCCTGAAGCTCCACACGCTGAGAAGGTGGGGTGGCTGCACTGGCAGCACCAGCCTGGGCGTGGGACACAGGGCAGCACCGTCCTTCTCCATCCCTAGTGGCAGGGCCTGCATCCTCCTCAGATCACAGGCAGCGCCCCGCGTGCCAGGTGTGTTGGGCACCTGTGCAGGGGGCAAGGGCAGCCAGAGAGGGAGGCAGCCTGGGTCCCCTACCAGGAGCCTGCAGAGCGGAGGGCCGTATAGGCGCCGTCTGCCTCCCTCCGTCACAGCTTCCTGCGCCTCTTCTCAAGACGCACAGGGCTCTTCCTCATTCCCCAGTGGTCCCATGGGTCCATCAGAGCTCTCCCTCCTGCTGGGGCCTGGCGGCCTTCCTCCTGAGACTCACTCGCTCTCCTCCTCACTAGGCAGCAGCCCCCTGCCTGGAAGGGCGTCTTCCTGCTCAGTGTATCCCTGCGGGCTTGCCTGTGGCAGGGCACACACTTCTGTCCTGTGTGAACCGTCACCTAAACCTCACGCTGCTCCATCCTTTCTTCACACGGCCTTGCGCGCTCAGGACCCACCCGTGCATCCCATCCGTGGCTCCAGTGTCCGCAGGACTCCGTGGGCACAGCTGCCACCTCTCCCGTGTCTCTCCAGGAGCCTTCCCAGCCTGCACCTGTCCCTGTGCCCTCCTCACAGTGCTGAGCGGCCGGTTGGGATCACCTGGCCCTTTTGTAAAGAAGCTGCACACTCGGCTCCTTAGAGCCCCATGGGGACTGTCCTGAGAAGCTCCGTGGCCAGGCCTGGCCCCGTAGGGACAAGTGTAGCCTCTGCTTGGTGGAGTCCTGGAGTCCAGGCCCAGCTGACAGAAGCCCGTGGCTCCCCAGCTCTGCCCTGCCCCATCCCTGTGGATCTGAGGCTGCGCAGGCTGGGCTGACTTCCTGCCCCTGCCCTGGGCCTGGGCCACCTTTCCTCGCTGAGGAGGCTTTTGTTTTAGGCCCGACAACATCTGGGAAGAGCACCACCCAGCCTCACTGTGGGTCAGCATCTCCCTTCCCTGTCCCCTAACCAGCCCAGGGGAGGGCAGCGCGGAAGTGGCTACTGCAGCACAGCGTCAGCCACCAGGGTGGCTCTGCTGCCAGACGCAGACCAACTCCCAATCCAATCATCCCCAGCCCTTGTCTACCTGGAGCTGGGCAGAGAGCATGCTCTAGACCCAGGAGACATCCTCTTTTAGACACCCAAGCCTCTCACGCACAGTTCTGCTCTGAACACCCACAGGGAGTTCCAGGCAGGAGGCCCGGGTTCCGGTGCTATGCAGCTTTGGCATGGTGCATGACCCCTCTGGGCCTGCTTCCTCTACTTGACTCTATGGGGACAGGGGCTGCAGGGCCAGAGACACCACTTCCTCCCACAGCAGGACTCCAGCTCAGCTCATCCCACCAGGGATCTCCCTGCTGCCGGCAGCCCCCTTCCCTCCTGGACACTTTCGGTGTTACAAAGCGCTCTCCTGGGTGAGATAAATACCAACATGGGTAACGGTGGTCTCTGCACGTTGGCCCCAGGCCCAGTCCTAAGCACTCCACCTGGCTGGGTCCAGAGTGGCATTCCTGTGTGTAGATGAGGAGTCCATGGTTCAGAGAGGACGAGCATTTGCCCAGATCACGTGCCAGCGAGGGTCCCTGCACTGGCTTCTGGGCCTCTTCTCTAGCTTCCTGAGGCTCAGCAGCTGATCATGGGAGAGGTGATGCCACTCCTGGGGAGTGCCTAGTGGGTCAGAAGCTGGGTGCACGGTGAAGCCTGGTGTGGTGACGACCCGAGGACACTGCCTGGTAGCCAGGAGCCTGTGCCCACCTGCAGCCCACCAAAGGTGACCCTGGTGACAGTCCTTTGCCTGGGCTCCGCCTGAAGGGTTAGACTGTGTGATCCCCAAGGCCCGTCCTGCAGGGTTCTGAGGGGCCCCTCAGGAGATAACCCTCCAGAGGTGCCCCTCACCCTGTGGCTAGGCCCTCTCCGCAGCTCTGCCCTGTTTCTAGGATTAAAATACCTCTCACCAAAAAATCCAGTCTTCCAACCCGCGGAGGAGCACAGGGGACATCCCAAGGGCACCTGGGGGCTCTTGGCTCTGACTGAGTCCCTGTTCCCAGGGCAGCACAGGGCTCATGCTCCACACCCCTGAGGCTCAGCCAGGTCTGCAGGACGGAAGCCTGCTGCAGGCTAGGCCTCAGCACACGGAGGTCTCGGGGGCCGGGGGTCCCGTGGGGATGCTTAAGGCAGGACAGACACCAGGCACATGTCCTGGCCACAGACTGCACAAGAATGGCCCATTCCCACCCCTTATGCCTCAGAGGGGAGAGCTGACCCAGCACCACCCCCACACCCCACGTGGACCCTCTGCTGAGAGCCCAGGCTGCCCTCAGCTCCTGGGAACATCTGGAACACTGTGCACTCTGGCCCAGTGCTCCACCCCCATCCATGCCCCGCTGTCCAGGAGCCTGAAGCCCACAAAGATGGGTCAGATGCCTGGGGTCCCCAACGCATGGCCCCTCTACAGAAACCCACATCTGATCTCACCCGAGACCTACGGAGACCCTGGGGGGTGGGCCAGTCCGGGGACAGGGGCCTGCAGTGAATGGGTGGCCGGGGATGAGTGGGGAGAGCAGAGAGCGAGGAAAGGAAAAGGGCTGCCGCCCAGGTGGGGTGAAGAGGAGGCACTCAGGTGCTCAAGATGGTGAGACCCTGGGAGTGTGGAGCCAGAGAGGAATAGACCAATGGGGGAGCTCCAGGGCCCCGTCCATCTCTCTGTGGCCTTGAGGCTTGGCACTACTGCCTCCCCAAAATTCCAGGGGATCAAATGGAGGCAGGACCCTCTGATGCAGGTGACCTAATTGCCCCTGAGCTGATCCCAGACCAGCTTCCAGGTGAGTGGCACTGCCCCTTGGCTGGCCTGGCCCGGTCTGATGGACACCTCTGCTGGTGGCAGGGCCAGGGGCCAGGGCCAGAGTGCACGGCCCATGGTGGACAGGCCTCTCAGAGAAGTAAGGCCATGGTAGAGGGAGAGGGGCAGTGGAGCACACCTACCTGAGCTGCTGGCGCTCTCAGAAGCGCTCCGTGACATCTTGGGCTGGCCGTGTTTGCCGCTGGCCCGCCCGGGCCCAGGTGGAGGGGGGCCGGAGGGAGCAGGGGCGCCATCTCCCCTGATGGTGCTGAGGTCCTGCATGCTGAAGCTCCGGAGTCTCTCTGACAAGGCACCCTGGCCCTGGGCACAACACAGGGGGACACACATCAGAGGCTAGACATGCCAGGCCAGGAGTCCTGACCTGAGGGCCAGCGAGGTGGGAGTCAAGGCCTAGATGGACCCTGCAGAGGGCAGTGCTGGACACAAGACGGTCAGCCCGGCTCGGCCCAGACACCCACAGAGAGCTGGGGACCCAAGCAGACCCCACGAGAGGACCACGCCTCAGGACCTGCCACCAGGGGCCACGCGGCTTCCCTGGACTCGCACAGGAAGGTCCTCATCCAGCTGCGTCTCCTTGGTTCTCAACACACAAGCATCTCATCAGAAAGCCAGACCCTGACGTGCTCAGTCCTCGGTCTTTTCAAGGGAAATAGAACAAGGTTTTTAATGTATGGTGACATTCGCCTCTTTTGTCTGTGCGGCTGTCATTGTTCATGAGGCTTGTTGTTCACGCTGTGCGTTTGCACTTCGCAAAATATCCACAAGGTGCGGCCGGGAAGGAAAATGGTCTATTTTTAAAACCCACTGATCATGATCACTTCCTTGTCTGAAGGAGCCACGGAGTGAGTCCTGGGAGGGGCATCATTATTTTAAGAAATCAGGAAAAATCATTATACTGGCTGTGTAGGAGGAGCATCTCGATGGAGAGTAAGGTGCTCCTGGTGGCACCCTAGGGCCAGCCTCACCCAGCTGGGCCTCAGCTGGGTGGGACAGGGCTGGCAGGAGACTGAGAAACGCCTGGGGTTGGGGAAGGGTGATGGGCAGCAACGCTCAGGCAAGTCAGTGAACTGAGGCAGCTCAGAAGCCCGTGCTGATGGCCTCAGGTGCCCGTGGTAGTGGGGACAGGAGAGGTAGTTTACTTGGATAATGGAGGGAAGAATGGTTCTGGAGGTCCACAGGAGGTGGGGACAGTATAGCACACAGAAATAACAGAGCCCAAATCAGCAAGAACTGGTCAGAGCTGCTTGGGCAGGACTCAGGCCTCTGTGAGTTCAATGAACAAGCCCGGGCCCACGCTGTGAGGCAGGGGCTGTCAGAGATGGGGGGAGGGCTTGCAGAGATCTTTTTCTTTTTTCCTTTTTTTGTGGGGGTAACAGGGATGCTTAACCACTGAGGTATGTGCCCCCCGCCCATTTTATTTTTATTTAGAGACAGGGTCTTGCTAAGTTGCTGAGGCTGGCTTTGAACTCTTGATCCTCCTGCCTCAGCCTCCCGAGTGACAGGGATTACAGGCCTAATATTTTTTCATGTTATTTAATAAAAAATCATAACAATATAATTAAACCAACCAAGCACACTGACTCGCTGACGTCGAAGTTGCAGACAGGATAAAGAAGCCAAGGCAGGAGCATATGGAGGGCTGACAGGGGGCTAGGAGAACCATCAGGGTCAATAAAGCAGCAGTTCTTCAGAAGGTGAGATAGCAGCTCCCAACCTACCAGAGTACAAAAACTGTGTGCTGCAAACCAACAGTAACCCAAAGAAAACTCTAAATAATCAGAGACCAACAACCAGGTGCGCCAGCCCAAGCCACGCAGTGCTTGGAGAATATTACATGAACTAAGACTCTGCTCTAGATGGCAGGAGGCAGGCTCTCAGGCCCTACTTCCTGGAGCCTCATCCAAACCTCACAGCCAGCAGCCATGGTTAGCTCACTTTACCCAGAAATGTTTCTGTGACATGTGTAATGTATTTCTTTATTTTTGTGGTGCTGGGGATGGACCCCAGGGCCTCGGGCATGCTAGGCAAGCGCTGACCACTGAGCCACACCCCAGCCTGCCATTTGGAGTTTGGAAGGCTGAAATTGATTCTGGAAATGTGAGCAGATATTCGGATAATTATGCCTGAGTGCAGCCGTGTGAGGCTCACAGCAGATCCAGGCGGCTGCTCGCCGGTGCACTCTCTCCCTATTATTCACTCACACACTGAGCAGCAATTTATTGGGCACTTTCCATGGCAGCACCCTGCATCGGGTGTTAATAAGAAGGGGCAAAAAGACAGCTCAGTGTCCGACAAAGTATAAAAAGAGAAAAGTGCAAATAAGAACCCAAGTGCACATCAGAGGCCACAGGAAGAGGAGACGAGGACACAGCTGTGGGGAGGCGGGGTCCGTACTCCACTGGACTGTGGCACAAATGGTGCCTTCCGCCTCTCCACTTCAGAGCCCATCTGCAGAGGAGCTGCTGCCCAGCTGGGTGCTGGTGAGGACTCAGTGAGATGACCCCTTTAGGCACCCCTACAGAGCCCCCCACTACGTTCTGAGGCACTTAAGCTGCTGTTGAAATTGGAGAAGATCGTTCTGGCCCAGAAGACCAGGAGGGGCCCCAGGAACCCAAGCCCATATAAATGGCCAGGGACAGACTCCATCAGCGTGGCTGCCGGTTCTTCACATGCTCAGATCTGAGGGAAGCAGGAGTGGGCCTCACAAGTGTCCATCTGCTCTCCCAGGAGCCAGCCAGTCCAGGTCCAATGTCACCAGAATTGCAAAGACTGACGGGGCAGGGCCAAGGATACATAGGACAGGAGTAGCTCTCTATCCACCCTGTCCCCTGAGGAAATCAGAAGGCTCCTGAAAACGAGTTAGCACTGTGTCCCAATTTCATGGGCAACAGTTGCCTTCTTAGATGGTAGTTAAGATGGCAGCGTGCCAGAAGCCACAGTCCTTAGACACGATGGACTCTGGCTGCACAGGGCAGAGCCACCTTGGCTAACGGTTGCGCTCAGGGCTGCTCTTACTGCAGCCGGGCACTTCGTCTGGCCAAATGCCGGTCACTCAACTCCAGCACGGTTAGTTGCTGTGCTTCCCCTCCAGCTTGGCTACTGCAGACTTGGACCCCTACTCTGCTTGATGAACACCAGGGTCAGGGAGCTGAACAGATGTCCGTGTCACCATTCATTGAGCTGCTGCCTGAGTACAGTGCAGCAGGAGACCCCACCCCATTGGATGCATCTGCAGGTCCCAGACAGCATCCTGTGAGGGGGGGGGGGTCTTGGGTGTGGCCACAGGAGTGCATGAGAGTGTCAGGGGGTGCAGAGTGAGAGGCCAGGAGTCCTGGGGTCCTGCCCTTGAACTGGCCTTGGAGGGCTTGGCTAGGTGAAGATGTGGACCAGGCGGAAAGAGAAGCATTTCTCAGCCTGGGTCACCCCTGAGCAGCACCCTCCACCCACCACAGTGGGGGTCTGTGCAGTTTTGTGTGCTACAGGGTGGAGGCCACGCAAACATCTGACCAAGGAGGCGTGCTTCCCAGGCCTCCGGGCAGGCGGCTGGGAGGAGTGGGCCTCACTCTTCACCACACCCCCTCTTGTCCCTGAAGAATTTGAGAACGTGTGTTCCCTTTAAGGAAGCAGTATGGTTCACCCGTCAGTCCTCAAGGCCATTCTGGGGTCCCCATCTCATGAGCACAGGCTTTGTGTGACCCTCACATATGCCCCTATACCAGACACTGGCAGGGAGGGTTGGAAACAGCAAAGGAAACAGTTAAAACAGAACCGAGAGGGAGGACATGGGGTTTCCACCAGGGACCAACTGCCCCCCTCCAGGAGGCGCTCGTCCCGGGGAACCACGAGCCACAGGAGAGGCACCACACAGCATCGGCCTATCCACACCACGCGGAATCTAATGCTATATGGGCACAGTGACGGTAAGGGAACCTGTTTAGTGGTCAGCAGTTGGCAGCAGCCACTAGTAAGACCAGGTCCCTCCCGCAGCTGGACAGGTTAGTACTCCCCCCACTGGCGCCCGCGCTGACAGTGAGGCCTGCTCTGCACACGCCCCCCAGAGCCAGGCAGGAGCCCCCTCATGCTGCACAGAGGCCAGCCTTGCTCATGAGGAAGATGGGACCCACCAGCCCGGGAGGGAGTCAGGCGCCCACCACGGCAGCCCCGGCAAGTCCAGGCAGCAAGGGAGGAAACCCTGGAGGTTACGCAGGCGTTAGACACTACCTAATGACACACCGGCAGGCACCGGAGGACCACAGGTTCACAAGCACCGCACACATGGGGCAGGAGGCCACCGCCGCTGAGCCAGACCAGGGCCACAGGGACAGCTAGGCCTCAGCCACAACTGGGTCAGCTTGGGGTTAGTCACACCTCTCCACAGGGTTACCTGCCCTTCCCTGTGGTCCAGAGAGGAGGCAAAGTGAAAGAGTCGAGCCACCTGATGAAGGGGAAGAGGGGACACAAATGAAGAGGCAGCCCTTCTGGGCACAGATGACATGTGGAGTGGCCAGAGCCATGTCCGCCTCCTGCCCTCCTTCCCGGCTCCCTGGTCAGTGCTCAGCCTGCTGGGGTTCCAGAGCTGCTCCCTAGATCCCTGGTCACCCTCAGCCCCCGTGGGATGCCCAGGGCTGGTCACCCTCTCAGCCCCCCTGGGACACCCAGGGTTGGTCACTGTCTCCCTGGTCACTCTCTTAGCCCCTGCTGGGATGCCCAGGGTTGGTCACTGGCTCCCCGGTCACTCTCTCAGCCACACTGGGATGCCCAGGGCTGTCACTGGCTCCCTGGTTACTCTCTCAGCCCCCCTGGGACACCCAGGATTGGTCATTGGCTCCCCGTCACTGGCTCAGCCCTGCTGGGATGCCAGGGCTGTGGTGTCCTGCATAGGGGTGGGGTGGGGGCCATGGGGTCTGCCCAAGGAGGTCAGCTCTAGCTAGGTGTGGGCCAGGAATAAGGACAGCAATACATGATGGGCGGTGGGGGGAGGTCACACTGCTGGCTGGACACTGGGCCATCAGTGGAGGCCTCTGCACAGGTGGATGGGCAGGGCCAGGGTGTGAGCGTGGGAAGCCCAAGACACCTTCAGAACACTGTGTGCCCCCACCTTGAAGAGGAGGCCCTGGTGTGGGTCACGGGATAGGAATGGAAAACCGGGCTTCGGTGGCAAGGTGTGTTCTTTGACCAGAACCTGAACACATCCCTGGCGGGGGCGGGGAGGTAAGCAGTGGGCGGGTATTGAAAGCAGATGTTAGAACAGTCAAAACCTTCTGGACACTTAAGGCCGCACACACGGAGGACTGGCCCAA